AAAAAAAAATAAGTTCATCCCGCTCAATCGATCTTTCTCTTTATATCAATGTACAATTTCATCCCTATATATACACATATCCATATGTATGGTGACAGTCTAATGAAGTATGTGCGTGTTGAAGATGTGGAGAGAATGAACTGAATATGTATGTGTGTATGTATGGTATATAAACATATTAAAAATTAGATGTGAAACACGCGTATGCCACGTTAAGGAAATAGGAACACAGAAGAGAGGAGAAGAAGAAGAAGAAAAAAAAAGAACACAACAAAAGGTATATAGACATTCCTGTGCGTGTTCGCGCACATTGACATGATGGTTTTTATTTCATTAAAATGAAAGGAAGCAAAGAATACGTACGCATTTATTTTCTTTATTCTAAGGTTTTTTGTATTTTTATTATTTTTTTATTTTCTAGTCTCTGATGCTTATATGCAGATATATTTATTTTCATTCTAGTAGTTGACAATAATGTAATTCAAGATAATGCAAATAATAATATTGATAAGAATGAAATGACATGCGAGCATATTAATGATGATAAAAATTTTCCAATCAATAATTCGACAATGATGTGTATTAATGATCAAACACAATTATTATCACCTCCTTATTTCATAGAACATGCTGAACGAACAGTATCATCAAGTTCATCAGAACAATTAATACCAAAAGAAAAACAAACTGGTAGATAGAAATCTTTTAGTAAAAAAATCTTTTTTTTTGTTGTCAATTTTAGGAATGTATTATCCTGCATTTGGTAGTACAGCTGCAATACATTTAGCAGAAAAATATAATTGCGAATGGTTAGAAAGTATTACATCACCAACAAATACATTTCGTAGATCATTGACAACTGTTGACAATGAAAACAAATCTGATTCACGTATTTTTCGTCAACATCAAACATTATTAGGTGATGATGATGAATTTTATTTATCACTTCAAACACTTCAACCATCACACTCATGTCCAAATTTAAATCATTCTTTTATAAGAGAATCATTACGTGAACGTTCATATTCTTTAACAACACTTGATGCTTATGCACGTTTAGATATAACACGTGATACTCTTGAACAAATGTGGCTTTCATTACTTGATCTTGCCTTTAGTGATAAAGATGATATTGAATTAGGTGAATATAAATTACGTCATATTATAGGTTTATCAAATTCATATACAAATATAAATGATACATTAATTGAAAAATCACGAAGTCATGGAGATATATTTTCTACGACAAATAAAAATCAAAAATTAACAGCTAATAAATCGAAATCATTTGATGTAACATCATTAACAAAACCAATAAAATCAACAAATG